TGGGCTATATTCTGGGACTCTGACCATCCTTGCTGTAGCCAAAACTATGAGCCTGTGTTATTCTCCAGAAAGCAAATTTGTATGTTCCCACTGCTTCCGCCTACTTCCACATACAAATTGGAAGGCGGTCTGCACAGATCTACAGCCAGGGTGGGGTGGGCGTGGGAAGGGAGGAAAACAAGCAAACAAAGGAGTCTGCAGAGAGATTTCACCAAAAGGTCTTTAGAAATTATCTCCAATATCACTTTTTAAATTATCCTTTAATACCTGTCTTATGCCTTCTGGATGGTGAAATCTGTCAAGCCTCAGAGAAGTCCTAGAACAACAAAGCAGTTCACTCTTACCAGATTTTTCACATGCAGAGTTCAGAATCAGATAAATCTGAGGTTGATTCTTGGCTCTGCCAATTACCATCTGGGTATCAGGCAAGTTATTTAATCTTTCTGAGACTCAGTTTCTTCCTGTATAAAATGGGACTAATAGCATCGACTTTGTAGGATTGCTGTGAAGAGTGAATGAGGAGTTCACGTAATCACCAGGCACAGCTCCTGGCACATAATAGATGCTCACTAAGTGGCAGCTATGACTTGTATGATCACATCCTCAGAGGATTAAATTAACGAATGGCTTTGAGTTAGGCACTAAACAAGGAAATGATGCCATCTTGAAACTCACAATTTAAGACAGAAATCGGCTGTCCTAATTACTGTTGCCGTTGATTTGATTCCGACTCTTAGTGACCCTATACGACAGAGTAGAACTGCCCCATAAGGTTTCCAAGCCTGTAATCCTTACAAAAGTAGACAGCCACGTCTTTTTCCTGTGGAGCAGCTACTGGATTCGAACGGCTGACTTTTCAGTTAGCAGCCGAGCGCTTAACCATTGTACCACTAGGGATCCTTCTTGTCCTAATTACAGTTCCCCATAATTATTAATTAAAAATAATAAAAGTAGCTGTCAGTCAATAGATCCACATGATCTCGTTTAACCCTCCTTATACCCTAGCATTACCACCCGTCTCTCAGTCTGTCACACTGTGGTAGCTTGTGTGTTGCTATGATGCTGGAAGCTATGCCACCAGTATTTCAAATACTAGCAGGGTCACCCATGGTGGGCAGATTTCAGCAGAGCTTCCAGACTAAGGTAGGCTAGGAAGAAAGGCCTGGTGATCTATTTCCGAAAGTTACCCAATGAAAACCCTGTGGATTACAACAGAATATTGTCAGATATAGTGCTGGAAGATGAGCCCTCTAGGATGGAAAGCCCTCAAAATACACAGTGGTTGCAAGAATGGGCTAGAGTATACCAACAATCATGAAGGCACTGAAAAGAATAACTAAAATGCAATATTTCATTGATTTAGGCTGGATTACATTAACTCTCTGTGATAATCCTGGCTATTTCAACCTGATTAAAAACTCTGATGGACCATTCCTATGTCTTTGATGAATAAAAATGAGAAATTAAATAAATACGGCATGTTTAACAGTAAAAAGCCTGTCAAAACACAAACCCCATGGGAGAAAATAATAAAACTGCCTTTGGTGATGAAATGGTTGTGAATTATGGGGCTAAAAGGAAACAGCACAAGTGATGGAATATCAGGCACTATATAGTTGTGCTTGAGGATCTAGGCAAAGGGCCCTTGTCTATGAAACATCTGGGTACCCTCCTTGCCCCTGCCTTCATTTCAGGGAACATGCCCCACCTAGAGCCCAGAGCAGTGGCTACTGCCACCGTGTGTTTCTGCCCTTGTGACCACAGCTGATTGGATGTACTGGGCTCACGCATCCTTGAGCTATTGAGCAACCTTCAGCCTGGGAGCTGGATCACAATAATGGCTGGGCCAACCATACTTCTCTCTTGGCAATCAGGAATCAAGAATCTGCGAGATGGAGGCAGTTCCCAACAGGGGCAGAAGTCAGGAGGCTACGTGGAAAGTTGCCCCTTTATAGAGGGTGCTGGAGTGGACACAGTGGCCATGTAGCAAGCCAAAGGTATGTGGGAATAGACACACATTTAGCTTTCCCCTAAGTCAGTGGGGTTAATCATCTCTCTCCGTCAGCGCTGTGATGAAGATGTTGAAAGGCACAATGAGAAGACATCCAACCAGGACTGACTGTGGCTCATCCAGTGTTAGCTGAATCAAAGTTGTAATGGTTTCTTTCTCTAACTTGTAACAATGATTGTATTTTCTGGTTAGGGGACTGGACTCAGGCTCCTATACCTGCAAGACAATGCATCCATTCGTATCTATTGAGTCACTTCTCTGTGCCCGGCACTGGGCTGGGCACAGGGGATGCAGCCCTGAACAAGATCTGTATGGTTGCTGCCCCAAGTGGTGCCAGACAAGCCACATGTCCAAGCCTCAGTCTTAGGACAAAAAGCTTGAGGGCTGCGGTGCTCAGAGTCAGAGCAGACGGATTGTAGGGGCCCGGGTACCTCCTGGCCTGCAATAGACACAAGAAGCAATAGGTTACAGGAATTAGTAGAGGAGTTGAGCTTTCTATAGAATTATTTCTATGCTTTAATGTTTTTATGGTGGTTTTCCCTCAGTTCTGTGGGGGAGAACTCCATTTAAAAGAGTCTAAAATATAACAGGGAACCCAAGGTCGAGAGGCGGAGAGTGTTGACACGTGGTGGGGTTGGCAACTAATGTTACAAAACAATATGTGTATTAATTGTTTGATGAGAAACTGATTTGCTCTGTAAACCTTCATCTAAAGCACAATAAAAAAATTAATTAAAAGAAAGGAAAAAAAAAAAAGATTCTAAAATAACCTTGATGGAATTAAGGGGAAGTAACATTTTTTTTTTTTCCTACAACTTAATCTGGGGAGATAAGGGTTTAATGCTCCTCCAAAGGCCTGGAGTTGTAGAAGGCACTTAGACCTGAGCATTTCTTAGATCAGTTATTCATTCAGCAAACACTTACTGAGTACCACTATCATCCATGCAGGTGCCCTGGTGGTGCAATGGCTAAGCGTTTTGCTGCTAACCAGAAGATCAGAAGTTTGAACCCACCAGCCGCTCCGCGGAAGAAAGATGTGGCAGTCTGCTTTCGTAAAGATTACAGCCTTGGAAACCCTATGGGGCAGTTCTACTCTGTCCTACAGGGTCGCTATGAGTTGGAATTGACTCTATGGCAACAAGTGTGTTTTCTTCCTTCCTTCCTTTCTTTTTTTTTTTTTTGTGTGATCCATGCTCTCTGCAGGCACACACAAGACCATGTCCCTGTTCAGGCAAGCTCACCGCCAAGTGGGAGGCAGCAAGCCTACAAAGATGCCTTACCTAACAATGTAACATCTGCTTACTGACAGAGCCTGGGGATGGAACACAGAGATGGGAACCCAGAGGGGATGGAGTTTCGGCCAATTTTGGACTCTTTCCTCTTGATTTTCACTTGGATCATTCCCTCAGGATAGTGTTACTGTATTTCCTTGGCTACTATTAGTGATCTTGAAACGAGCAATTTGTTTTTTGTTTATAGCCAGACACATGCATGGAAATACATTTGCAAGCCCAAGAATACTCAGCCATACAACATGCATGTGTAATCACCCATGAATGGCACAAATGTATTGCATCATTAGATATTCAGTGAAAAGCACGCACAATTTCAGCTTCCTCAGCATCAACACTGTGTTGACAGGGAACACCAGAGATCTACCAGAGAGGCAACTCACCAGCACGTGGTGAGGAACATGCCTGCAGGAACACGCAAATACGCCACCTGCTTCGGCAGCCAAAACGTGGGCAACAGCATCCTGCCAGCTTCTATTTATTGTTGCATTGCTATGGTGCCCGGCCCCTTTGTATCCATGGCATTTAGAACCTCAGGAGTTGGGCCGGTGACCATTCTTCGAAAACAGCAGAGGGAAGTTAAGCAACTCTAGACACGTGTGTGACAGCAGTTTAGGGACAGTTGGAGCTTTCTGGTAGACACAGCCTAAGGAAATTGGCACGGAAGCAGCATCTTCATCCATTATATGGATGCCTGTGAAAGAGGGGATGTGTATAATAAAAGTACTGTTCACTTTATTCACAGAACTGGTCCTTCCTACTCCATTCTCCATCTCATACAAATGGGCAGGAGCAGCCCTGAAAGCCGGGGTGGGGTGAGGGTGCTGCTGCTGGTGGTGTAGTGTGTGTGGGTGTGTGTGTGTGTGTGTCTGTAAGTGGGAGACAAGAGTCTGGGTGTCTATGGGCTGTGGTGGTGAGAAGGTGGTCTATGGAGGCTGAAGGCCTGGAGAATCAGAACACACACATACACACACACACACACACACACACAAACACACACACACACCTATTGCCTGTGGAGGCTATAGTGACTCATGACGACCCCGTCCATGTGTTATAGAGTAGAACTGCTTCATAGGGTTTTCTTGGCTGCAGTCTTTAGGGAAGAAGATTGCCAGGCCTTTCTTTTGCAGTGCCGCTGGGAGGGTTCAAAGCGATCGCAAGCCGCTTGTGCCACCCAGGGAGCTCTGGAGAATCTGAAGCTCTTTCAATAACGGTTCCAAAGCCCTCCAGCAGAGCCCTGCCTGAAGCAGCCATCCTAGGCGCCCACTCCCCCCGCCCCGCCCCCAGCATCAGGCCGCTGGGTCACCGCTCCCCCTAGCGGGAGCACAAAGCAACTAAAGCGGGAGGCGCCCGTTGCAGCTGGGGAGGGGGGAGTTCACTAAACTGTGTTGGCGCGAAGGCTCGGGAGCGGAGGAATGAATCCCATGGGGAGAAGTGGGGCGGACCAACGAGGGGCAGTGAGCGAGGGCAGGGTACACCCAGACTTGTCATCACACGGTGGGAGATGGATGGTTTTCTGGGACGCTGGAGGGAGACGTCAGAGCGCCGGGTCCGCGGTGCAGAGCCCCCAGCCCCTCCCGGGCTCCGTATAAAGTCGGGCGGAGTGGAGGCGGCACAGCGGCGGCGACGCTCCGAGGTCCCGCTGCTCCCGCGCTCTCGCCCGCCTCGCCGCGCGCCGGGCTCCCTGCCGGACCATGTGCGGCCGCGTGCTCCAGCTCGTCCTGCTAGCGCTGATCCTCTGCCAGACGCCGGGGGGACAGACCGCCCCCGTGCCGGCGGGCGGAGGCCCTGTGCTGTCCAAGATGTACCCGCGCGGCAACCACTGGGCAGTGGGTGAGTGTCCCCGCGCGCTATCTCAGGGACCAGCCACGGGGGCTCCCATCGCGGCGCTTCAGGGACCGGCTCGGGGTGCTGGTTGTGCTCCGACTCTTCTACCCAAACTCCACGCCACCCGTCCCCAGCCCGGGGAGCCCGTGGGTCCCTCACCAGCCCCAGGCGCGACTCCAGCAGTGTGGTCCCTTGGTTCTTTCGCACCCTCTTCCCCAGGACGCCCAGGCCTTCGAGCAGCTGCCCAGACCACACCCCAGACAGAGACCACCTTCCCTCAGCACCCGCCCAACGCCTCCTTGATCAGCCCACACTAATCCTGTCTGCAAGGTCCCTCCTTGAGCAACTTTGGGGAGCGGGCCCCTGAGCGCGTCCCTAGCTCTGGCCGGCCCGGTGGCCTCGCCCCCCGTCGCGGGGGCTGAAGTCCAGGCTGCGTTTCGGCGCCAGCACAGCTGCAGGTTCAGGGACCGGGGCGCGGGGCGCTCTCCCGGGTTTCAAATCTGGGCAGCGGGCAGCGCCTGCATCCTGCCTCTGCTTGTGGTTCTCTGAGTTCTCTGTCCTTCTGTAGAGATTGTCTGTCCTCCTCCGTTTGGCCAGGCCGCCCTGTGTCCACGGAGAGGGCTCCGCGCTGCGGGAACCGAGCTGCCCCGGCCTCTCTGCGCTCTGAGGCCTCTCTGCGCTCTGAGTCCCGCTCCTCTCTCCTCCTCTCTAGATCCGCGACCTCGCCGCTCCGCTAACTCCTCTCTAGGTCCCTCGGCCAACGACTCCTGCTTTCCAGGCGCGGGCTTGGAGGGTCCCCCGTCCCTGTCCCCGAAGTCCCGAGGTCCCGGCGGCGAGGTCCGCGGGGCCGGTGGAGAGCGCGCGCCCTCAGCTTTTGGGCAGCTGGGACCTCCTCTAACATCATCCTGGGCTCTCGGCCTCGCCCAACATCACCCCTCACAAATGCAAAGCGTCCACCTTCCTCGGAAACCGACTCCCCACACCCATAATGCCAGCTCCAACATTTCCTGGGAAGCTGTCCACCCTCTAAGGAGATACAGTGTGTGTGTGTGTGTGTGTGTTTCACTATGTTCTTAGTCATCTACTTAAGAGCTGGGGAGGGTGTGTTGGAAAGGTACCTGCTAATTGAAAATCAACCATTAATAGATTTCCAGTGCCTAGGAAGAATTTGGAACCATGGTGGCACAGTGGTTAAGAGCTCGGCTGCTAACCAAAAAGTCCGCAGTTCAAATTCACCAGCTGCTCGTTTGAAACCCTATGCGGCAGTTCTACCCTGCTTTGTGGGGTCGCTAAGAATGGGAATCGACTCAACAGCAATTTTTTAAGGAAGAATTTAGGGGCAGGGGTGGGGCTGGAACAGTCTGACCCTTAGCTCTTCTAGGCTGTCTCTGCCTTTGTCAGAGAAATCAAGAGCTCCGAGTTGGAATAGGGTAGCTTTCATTGTTGTTCAAAGAATTATTTGCCAAGTCTTGCAAATCCGGGGGTGACGGTGTTTGTGATTTATGGGGGCGACGGGGAACCCAGAGTCTGGTGTGCAGGGCAGAGGCTGGGAGAGGTGATGCTGAGAAACCCTGCATTTCAAGAAGGAGGAGGTACTTACAAGGTGTTAAGGAAGCCAAACAGAATTGACAATTTTCTTTAAAAGGGCTTTTGGGAGCTTAGAGAAAGTGGCTATTTCCTGGTCACCAGCCAGTGGGCTGGAAAAGTGGAATGAAACTTCCAGATTTCCAGCCTCCTACTGCTCTTTCACATTTTTTGTACTAAAAAGGCTTATTATTAGATAACTCTTGCAGGTCAAAGGGATGATGAGAGTTAGCTGGGAAGCCAATCCAAAAATCCAAACCCCTTACTGTCAAGTTGAATTCTGATCCCACAGAGTGCTGCTGGAGGGTTCTAATGCTGACTTATAGGTTAGCAGCCAAGCTCTTAACCACTGTGCCGCTAGGGCTCCTTGCTGAGAAGCCAGTACCACATTATTTCTGGTGCAAGCCAACCCTGATTTGCTGTAGCTCCGGAGCTTATCTGTCCCAGATATTTAGGGGTCTGGCATTTAATCACCCTTCACGGTAGTTCTTGGGGATCCCCAGCCCTAAAGTATATTGACCAGAGGCAACCCCAAATACTCTTTTCTTATTTGTTCTCAAACAAGCTCGGTTTTCTTTTTCTCCCTTTGCTGGCTGTGTGGAGTCGAGGAGGAGCAAGGGAAAGAGGGAGGTGCAACAGAAAATCACATTTGGGCCTGAAAACACACATCTTGGTTGAGACAAAGTTCACTTTGGGTAGACAAGCCCTCTGCTGAAACGTGAGTGTTGACAAGAATGAGTGACTGCTAAATGGTTAATTTAGCTTTCACCTATCCCAAGTGAATAATCTGTGCTCCTCAATCACGGAAGATATGCAGCTTAGCTTAAACTATCTCCAACTAAATCTACACATTGGTGTCTAGGAGGAAGCTGTTAGCACACATTTGCAGGTTTGTAAGTGAATTTCTTCTTCAAGCAGAGAGAAACAGCTTAGAAACTTGATAGATTCTTATCTGGCATGCTCTTCGTGACAATGTTTTGTTTGAGAGATGAAAATACCTGTCAAAGCCTAATCCTGGTAAATATCTCCCGGGCTACCGTGAAATGATCCAAGTTGTGGCTCTCTTGGAGGTGAGGCACACCTCCGGAGGCTGAATTCTGAAACACCAGGATTCAACTGCAGAGTGGTTTAACATTATAGGACTGTCCCAGAAACTGTGAAATAGAGTTTGTGTGGCTCCAGTAAGACTAGTTCTTAGAAGTACTCAACATTTTCATCTAGGTCTTAATGCAGATTTTCCTAAATTAGGATCATTTTCAAGTTTTTGACTTCTAGAAAATTGATTTGCATTTCATACCTGCCCTTTAGTGGCGGTGATTAAAAAGGACCAAAGCTTTTCCCTCCGGCCAAGGTTTTCTATTTTTTCAAGTGCTTGTCTTTGTGTCTGTTCTGAGAGCTCCATTATTATTATTTGATATGGACATTTGACAAATGAGGACGGGGACAGGTAGAAGTGGGCATTGGATCCATGTTGCCATGGAGATGATCGGTTGACAGTAGCCAGCTCAAAGTGAAATAGGAGCCAGAGAGTGTGCGCTTCCTGGGATGTAATAAATGGCGCTTTTATTAATAACCTGTTAGTGGGCCTGGGAGGCTGAACACTACTCACCCACCATAGGTGCAAATATTGTACAAAAATTCAGTACAAGGTCATAAGGATCTCTGTTAAGTCAATTACAGAATGGAGGACTTCTTTGTCCTTCGATTTCAGGCAAGTCCACAAAACTATCCAGATCCAGCAAGAATGAAGTTCTTGTGTGTCAAAATATTCCCATTGCCCCTCTGCTTCACTTTCTCATTTATAGCATCCTACCTATGAGTCAGAATCGACTCGACGGCAACGGGTTTGTAACTAGATAATAGGCCATTAGGGAGGGCAAGAGTGACTAAGGTCATTACTGGGAGCATCAGGGTTCTAATCCTGCTTTCCCATTGTCATGATTCAATTTCCTCCACATAAATAAAGCCAAGTGCTTCACTACTTCCTGGGAAGTTGTGCAAAACAATCACCATGATGGCTGAAGGCAAGGTTATTGAGTAGACATTAAGACACCAAGCTGACCAAGCCGATAAGCGAGGAGCCAATCCTTCAGGATTCTAGTCCTTGAACTGAGCCCGTGTTCTCAGTAAGGTCTTGCGACTGTGTGATCTGTCATGTGATAAGCAACCTGGCAAGCACTCGCACTGTAATACGGGAAAACCTGATTTTAAGGCTCCCAGTATTCACAGAAGGCACTTTTCTGAGCCACATCATGAGTCATGAGTCATGATATTTGATCCCAATTCCTTTTTATAATATTAGAGAGCCTTTTTGTAGACTGTATCCTTATTTCCAGACTGCAGAACGAGTTTTAACTGCATTATAGTCTTAGGAAGTTAAAAGATACTTCAAACGAATATGATATAGTAGAATCTGGGCTGTGAGCTGATTTTAATCCTTTGCTTACAACTGTGTGACCTTTGGCAAGTGTTGTCTTCCCCCAGCTTATTATGGTGTGGATCAAAAGAAACAATCCTGTTTAAAATTCTGTGAGCTGTAAATTGCAATACATATACAAGCATATTGCTTGTGGAGTACTGAGTTTCTGTTGATGGTGATGGAAAAATCACATTGATTAAGGGAGGGCTGCACCGCCGATTAATATAATTGCTGTCAGTAAGTTGTACACCTGTAAAAAGTTGAATTGGCCAAAGTTGTGTGATAGATATATTTACAACAACAAAAAAGAGCAGCTGCTAAGGCTGCTTATGTACAACCAAACACCTCACAGGATTTGGTTTCTTGGTTTGGAGATTTAGGGTCACGCTTTCACGGAACATCCCAGTTAATTGGCCTAACAATGTGTTTTGTGCTTCTGTTCTACCTCCTAGTTTGTTGTGTAGTGCCTGGGGTCTTAAAAGCTTGCAAGAGGCCATCCAAGGCACAACGATTGGTTTCTATTTGCTTGGAGCAACAGAGGAAGAAGGAGAAGAGTCAGGAATAGGAGGAGGAAATGGATGTTTGGCTAATTGCCTCCATAAGCAACTGCCTCCTTCGCCATGAAATCACAGGAACTGAATGGTGCCTGGTGACCATTACTGAACATTCTGATCAAAGATTCTATAGAGGAATCCTGAATAAAAGAGGGGAAATACAGAACAGAATTTCAAATTCTCATAGATTCTAGATTTTCTGGAGCCATGGAGGCTGAATGAACCCCTGAAACTATTGCCCTGAGATAATCTTTATTTAAAAAAAAATGTTTTTATTGTACTTTAGATGAAGGTTTACAGAACAAATAGCTCCTCATTAAACAGTCAGTACACATATTGTTCTATGACTTTGGTTAACAACCCCAAGACATGTCAACACTCTCCCTTCCCGACCTTGGAGGACTTTTTTTTTGGTGAAAATATACATAGCCAAAGTTACACCATTTCAAAAGTTTCTACATGTGCAATTCAGTGACATCGATTACATTCTTCCAGTTGTGCTGCTATTCTCACTATCCTTTTCCAAATTATTCCATCACCATTATCTTC